TTGTGGTCCAAGATGAAGCGGAGATGGCACGGGGATTCGACGAGGCGAAACAGCGAGCTCCGGTGGCGGCGATGGCTTGGGACGAGGCAACTGCTTATGCTAGGGCGGGATAGAGAGGCGGCGTGATGCGGCGCAGTACTTGGGTCGCCTTTTATGAGGCAGAGTGGCGTGGGGTGCACGGCACGACACGAAGACGTGGCGGCGGCGGACTTCCTCGCCGGCGGAGTCCGAGGCGGTGACGAGCGGGTGGTAGACGACACTGACTCGGGGAAGAAGGCGCTGACAAGTGGGGTCCAGTTGTCGATGACTGCGCGCGGGGAGAGAGGAGAGCAGCGCCCACGGCTTGGTTGGGCCGGCCTAGGAAGAGAGAAGGCGGGCCGCGCGGGAGAGGGAGCAGGCTGCGGCGGGAGAGCAGGCCAGGCCGGAGCGGAGGCACGGGGAAGAGGAAAGGAAGCAGGCCGCACGGGTAACTGGCCGCTTGGGCCAAAACAGAGAAGGGGTGTTTTCTATTTGTTTAATTTCAAAACTATTTTAAAAACATTTGAATTTAATTTTGAATTTTTGGTCAAACCCACTCACCTTAATAAATCGAATACACCAGCATGTATGCACAACAATGTTGCTACATCCTATAATGAATTTTATTTTAATGAAAATTATTATTTTTCCTATGTTTTCATGAGCACACAAATTCAAAATTAATTCAATTTCTCTCTATTTTAAAAGGAGCAATTTTTTAGGGTGTTACATTCCAAGCCCTGTTTTGAGGTAGAAAAGAAATCGTACCATTTCCATAGGGGGGGGTAGTCTAGATCAACATGAATGTAATTGAAGCAAACGTAGGCCTGACCAAAAGGGGATGGCTGCATTGATCGGAAGTCAACATTCATGCGATTGCGAAGAAAACCTTCTATGATATTCCGGATGTCCCAAAAGTTGACATGTTTTGTTGGCATCGGGTGAAGCCTTGCGCTCGCCGAATCATTGTTCCTCTGGGCCACATGCCCCTTGCAACTGGAACACATAATATCCTGATAACATATGTATAAGCGTGTGTTACACTATTACCTAAAATAGATACTGCAATTTTGATGTTTGGAACATCAACATTATATAAGTTTTCAAGAAAGATAGATAGTTAAAATATAACTCCAAATTTTGATGCCAAACTAAAACATCAACTGTTTTACTTCAATACATTATTTATACCAGGTCATTTATTCATTGTTTTTTCATGATGCAAACATTCTACTAGGTATCTTAATGAGAAAGTGACAACAAATTCGTGTGCATGCATTGCAATTGATTTCTAGTATTATTGTGAATTTGGGAATTCATATCTCCTGCCACAACAAATTCGTCAAAAAGTTGGTTTCTTCTAGTAAACAATGACCCCATGTTGTCTTTATATAATTCGTATTGTTATAAATATAGTCCAGAATTGGATATCGAGTATTATGTCTCTCAATGGATATGCATGTTTCTACAGGTTGTGAGTGAGTCTGGATTGTTCACACCCGATGACGTGGCATATGTACAAAATGCTAGTGTTTTTGCGGTAAGTTTTCTAAGTCATTAATTAGAGCTTTGTTACTATGCTTGAGAGGAACTGGTGGTTCCTTTCTAGTTTTTTTTGAGCCATCTGATGCCAAAAAACTGATAGCTCGAGGGTGAGCAGTTGAGGCAGGCCACGTTTGCTTGGGTTGTGGCCAGCTGGGCCATCCTAATCGACTCTTAAGGCCGAGCTTTGGGGTATCCCGTTTGCATAGCCCCGACAACTGTCAACACATACCGCTATGATGCCCGTCTGCGGTTTATTTTGATACGCAAACATACCGCTCTGAGGCCCCATCTGTGATGAGAGGTCTCTGGACCCAAGCTAGATCAGCGGTGCGGATTATTATTCATGTCTCTCATCATCAAGCATCATCAGAAGCACCATCAATAAGAATCATGCATATCACAGATAGTTGAGCCATCAATAATACCATCACTCAAATACTCATATAATAGCATCACCCCAGGTAGTTCGAATACTCATATAAAATAGCATCATCTCACATATCATCGGATCAGCATATATAGTAGCATTGCTTCATCACACAGGAGTTCACAAGCAACCTCTCCCAACGCCATGTTTAGATCATATATAGGCAACTCTTTCAACGTTGACTTGTACGAGTATGGAACTCCCCTTTCGGATCAATTACTCGGTGAACTAAGAATGCTGAAATATTTTCTTGAATTTCATGTAGTGTATCTTCTTTCATAGTTGATGTCAGCACTTCAAATTTCTATACATGTATTGAAATGGCCATCTGCAATGGCAGAGCATGACAGAAACTAAAGGAAGGGCCAAATTGCTCAATTTTCTATAGTATTTAAGCAATCAACTGTGTAATAGGCAAAGTGAATGATTATGAAATTGTAGCCAATTAGAAATAAACCGTCATCTCAAGGTTCTCAAGTTCTATACCAAAAATTGGTAGATGATCTTGGTGACTACATGCTATAGTGTTTTGGTTGCCGCTCCATGCATGAATAAAGTTCTTTGGAGTTGCAAGTATATATGGAAGGAAATATAGACAAAGGAAACATGCAATGTGCTAATGGTAAAAAGGACAGAGTTAAATTATGCGCCGTTGTTTCTCCTAGTGGCAAAAGGTAGTACTTCATTGCTAGTGTTGTCTTCTACTACTAGTCAGCCTGTTCGGCTCGACTTGTCTCGCTTATTTCAGCTTGTCTGAATCAGCTGAAACCAGCCAGAACCAGCCGGTACACACTAAGTGATTTACAACTAAGAACTAGTGAAACTTTTGCATAGGTAAGGTGGGGCCATTGTCCAAGCTGGCCTCCACGTAGCTCCGCCAATAACCAGTTACATTTATATTGTAGGTTTACACGAGAGATGATGCTATACCTCGTGCTGTTGTATGCCTGTGTTTCCCATGGACACCATCACATGGTGTGCAGCGAAGAAGCCACAAAGTGCCGGGTTGCTGGCAAAAGAAATGGTCGGGAACTTAAACTTTTTAAATTTAATTAAATATATAAAAAATACTAATATTTTATGTGTTGAATAAGTATTGTTAGATTAATTAGAAAATGCCTTTTTAGAATAAACATATTTAGAGATATTTGATATTATTTTTAAGTTTATTTGAAATTTAGAAAAAAAAAATGAATGTTTAAAAAGCAAGATACGTTTTTTTACAGATGGAGTAAATAAATGAAGAAACTCGAGATGAGATGGCTCCTCTTCGTAACTAGGCACGATACTCGGTGCTCTATAAATGCAGAGAAATCATTCTCCGCACATCACCGCACCAGTGACGCAAAAGCAAAACGCCAAACAGGCTCACCCAGAGCCGGTAGAGGACACGCCACCACTACGTAAAAAAAAAGGTTTGTAAGGCGGCTCCACACCATTTGTTGAGACGGTTTGGCTAGCCGCTCCTATCTAACCGTCTCTATAAATCGTCGATTTGTAGAGGCGGTTTTTAGACCATCATTTCTACAAATCAATTGGTAGGAGTGGCTCAATATCTAGCCGTCCCTACAAATCAATTTTCACAAATCACGAAAAAATGAACAAAAAAAATAGTAATTTTTTTTAATCCGAGGAGGTCTCCACCGACAGCCACACACACCCCACTCTATGGTTACATCATTTTTTCACGATTTTTGCACACTTTGCATTGGCCAGGATTCAAACCGACGACCTCTCCCTCGCACGCCATCTCCTCTACCACTGCACCTCACGTTCACTTGTGTCCACAATCCATTTTGATTCCCCACATATTATATAAAACTGAGCATAAATCAATTATTTGAGGCCCTAAACTAATTCAAATGAAAAAGTTTTCAACTACAAAGTTTTATAACTTTTCGAGATCTACAACTTTCATTTTGTTAATTTCTCCGTCTGAGGTCACTAATCAAATTTGAATTTCAAATTTGAGAAATTCGAACATAGTTTTCCATGACAAAATGATTTCAAATGGAAAAATTATCAACTACAAAGTTTCATAACTTTTCAAGATCTACGACCTTCATTTTTAATGTTTGTCCATGCGAGGACGTTTAAAAAATTAAAATTTTAATTTTTTAAAAATTCAAACGAAGTTTTTCTTGACAAGATGATTTCAAATCAAAAAGTTGTCAACTACCAAGTTTCATAACTTTTCGAGACCTACAACTTTCATTTTGGTTGTTTTTCTATCCAACATCGTTTATAAAATTTAAATTTTAGTACTTAATTTTTAATACTCGTGCTGCTAGTGCTAGTGCTAGGTCGGCATGTCAGTCGCTAGCCGCCCGCCCGTCGCACGTCCAGCTCCAGCGGAGTACACGTACCGTGTACGCACGACGCCTGCTGCCAGCGCCGGGCGAGCTCTTGCCGTTGCCGTTGCACCTGCCTGCGGCCTGCGTGTACGCTTTAGGGCCCGTTGAGTTCCCAAAATTTTTTGGGCTACTGTTTGGCTAATGTAGGGTTACTGTAGCACTTTCGTTTGTATTTGATAATTAGTGTCTAATTATGGACTAATTAGGTTTGAAAGTTTCGTCTCGCGATTTCTCACTCAACTATGCAATTAGTTTTTTTTCGTCTACATTTAGTACTCCATGCATATACCGCAAGATTTGATGTGACACTTTGGAGTGAAAATTTTTAGAATCTAAACGGGGCCTTAATTTGCACGGAGCGTTTGTTTTTCTCTCGTCCCTAGGCAAGGCAGACGGTGGGGTTAGTGCCCTGTGCCCCGCAGATGCCGCCGATTTACAGGGGCACTTCAATATTGAGCTGCTGCTATAAATTGAGTTATTTGTAGGGGCGGCTAATAATATTGGTCGCCCCTACAAATTTATTTATGAGGGTGACTCATTTGATAACTATTTGTAGAGCGCGGCTCAATATAGAGCTGCCGAAAGAAAGACGTTGTCATAAATGGTTTTTTTAAGTAGTGCACTCGACAGCGTCAGCTCGCTCCGACCCACCGCCGATGGCAACGGCGATGGCCGCCACCTCCCTGGCCCCGATCCTGGCCGCTGCTACGTTCCCTGGCCCCGATCCTGGCGGCTGTGTCAGGGTGGCGCGCCGGCGGGAGACGGCTGCGTGCCTTGATCCGGACGCCAGCACGGTACGTGAAAAAAAAAGAGCGAATCTTTGGCTTTTGGATGGCGTCGGATGGGTAAGATTCGACTTTTCGCGTCAGGCGATTTCTTTTTCTCACCTGCGGTTTCGGGCGTACTTTGCGCGTGTACATTGCAAATGGTTGAATCTTTCTGTGTGATTGGGTGCAAAATGTAGGGAAATCACAAGTGGTTGATGGGTGTGAGCTTGTTCTTTTTATTTTTAGTTAGATGGGTAAAAACGTTCACTTCTACTGACTGCTCATGTTAATTTTCTAAATGGTTTGAATCCAATATGATCCAAGAAGGAAATGGTGGAAAGATGATGGCAACACTTGAATTTGTTAGTTGTTGGGTGACTGGTTGGGTTGCCTTTATAATTTGGGCGCGTTCGCTGGTCTGGTTCTTGTAGACCAGCCGGTTGCTCCTCCTCACGAAATACTGTTCATCAATCAGTCGCTACAGTATTTCTCTCTCACAGAACCAGTCAGTCAGTTTCTGTCAAATTTCAGACCAGCGAACGAGACCATTGTTACTTTATTTATACTAGGATCTTGCGTGGTCCATGGAATGCATTTAATAATCTCCTCGAGATCTAAAGAGTGTACCTTGCCGTCAGTTTATTAGATTTTCTGATAAAATCTGCGGTGTAAGTGCCGGTCTACCGGATCAGTCACTGAATGTTCTGGCACATTTTCATCACTTGTAATTCATGTGGTCCATTTATTCCTACAGAGTGTTCTTGGGATCATCCTTGGAGGTGGTGCTGGGACAAGGCTGTATCCACTGACGAAGAAGAGGGCGAAACCAGCAGTACCGTTGGGCGCCAACTACAGGCTTATAGATATCCCTGTCAGCAACTGTCTGAACAGTAACGTCTCCAAGATATATGTGCTAACACAGTTCAACTCTGTTTCGCCCAACCACCACCTCTCGAGGGCCTATGGTAACAACATTGCCGGGTACAAGAATGAAGGATTCGTTGAGGTCCTTGCAGCACAACAGAGTCCAGAGAATCCCGACTGGTTTCAGGTATCTTTGTTCATCTGTTGACATGTGATCAATTTATTCATCCTGGAATATTAGTTCATGCTGACAACAGCAGTGATGATGTTTGATACCAAGTACATCTCTGAATCATTGCCTTTTCAGCTTTGTCTATTAATATTCTCTTAGATATCCCACCTTAACTTTTATTTTTGTCCTTGAACTGTTTACAAGTTTGATTAGTACCTTTTTTTCTTTTTTCTTTTTGTTGCAACAAATGCAGCTGCACAAGTGCACGGTCAGTGCACTGCCACTCACTTGTAGCTAGATTCCAGAGGGTGCATAGAATAAGTGGAGAGAAAATAATTGGTTGAGCACTTCTGATAATCGAATGTTTCCACCCTACTTTGTAAACAAACTTTTATTGGACTTAATGCATCTCCTGACAATTGATATGAGCTACTGTACTTTGTCACATGGTGTAACACCCCAAAATTTGCCACTTTTGAAAATAGAGTTAAAATAATTTATTTGTGAATTTTTGTGCACAAGAAAACATAGGAAAATAAAAATTTTCATTAATTTAAAATTTATCATAAGGTAGAAACGTGTTTGTTGCATTCATGTCGGTCGCACCTCGTGTTTCTATGTGCAAAATGTGTATTTTTTTATACGTTTAGTAGACGAATATCTATCTCTAGAAATTTTTCAGCTTCTTTCTGGAATTTAATTCCTACCTCCTTCACCTTAATCTTTAAGTTCCAAGTTCCCAACAATATTTTTATGAGCTCCAAATACTTTATTTGGGTTCATCATGTTCCAAAGTGTCTCTAAGAATTTTTCCCAAATTTTTGGAGGTCTCGAAGTATTTTTCATGGCTTAAATATCAATTCTAGACTTTTCTGGGATTATTTTATCCACGAAATTAATCAATTCCGAAAATAATAAAATATCTTGTTTTCCACCAACGCTCAAAGCCCATGTGCAATAATCCTCATAAATTCTAAAGGCCCATGCATTTATTTACTCATGGGCTTTAATAATTATTTAGGCTCATTAGTAAATGTGGAGGGTGCAACATCAATTAGTATCATATTGCTAGTTGATGTAGATGTGGGGAGTTTTTCTCCCTATATATATATATGCACCAACCCCTTGAGCAAAGCACACCAAAACTATCGTAAGAGAGAGCTCCTAGTTTGAAAAATCTCTCATATACTAAATTAGATTTTTCGCCTCGTTCTCTCATCGTAGCCGTCGCCGTCGCCGCCCCAGGAGAGGCCGATGGAGAACCACACCACCGTCTCAAGACTTCGCACGCTGCTGGTGGCCATTGTCTAACCCTTGCCGGAAACTCACCACGTCACGAGAAGGCCATGTCGTGGTAATCTTCTACATGTCCGACTCTGCTCTCCGTCAAACGTCTTCCGCGTCTGACGCTGGTGAGCCTATATCCATCGATCTGTCTCCTCTAATAATTCTCATATGTCAACTCCCGCTCACGTTCGTGTGTTCCCGTGATCTTTGCACGAGATCGTCGTCTGACTACCCTATGAGCCGATCAACCTTGTCCGCTTGTCCATCCATGCATCTTGAAGGAAGCTACCACGGGCATGCTAAATCTTGCCGAACTAACCTTCCTACCCGTCACAGCCAGGAGCTTCATTACGACAATTGCTAGCACTCAATGCCGACCATCCTTGTGGGTTGCAAGCCGGCCGAGCGGCAGGGCGCCCAATTCATCTCTGGTCAGGTACGTGAGCACAGATCATGTGGAGAAACTACGTAACTTTCTATCCATTCAATAAGTCTTTCCGCACAAATCCAGATCATTGTAGTCCAGTCTTAGCATCTTTGATCCCAAGTTGTTTATCTGTTCTAGCTCTGACTCGATCGATCCGTTCTTTCTGCCGTGTGCTTTGGCTAACGTGAGATATATATTAGCAGCTACGCTGAGCATGCCATATATTTCTGAATTTTACATTAAAAATACTAATTTGATTAATACGCATACAGCATGCTGATCAAATTAAAAGCAACATAGGGTTACACATGGATGTTTGTACATAAATATTAATATGATTAATTAATAATATAAATGTGTTTTTAAATTTCAAATTCCCTCATTTAAACACCCATCATATAATCCGATTAGATGGTCTCACATGTTTATTTCCTATGTAAAGTAAAGTTTAAATGGCTTAAATAATATGAGATAAGTTGGTAAATAAAATATGACTAGTTTAATCCGGCTTCTAAAATAAAATGTGAATTTATGTAATCTGAATTAACATGCTTCATATGGTTTCGCTAAATTAAAACAAATCAAGTATGTAGGCTTTTCTTTACTTTTATAATATAAATATCTCGGTAGTCGTTTCTTTCAACGGTAGTAGTGACGAGCTCTCTTTTAGCATATTGTTTTTCTCTCATGTGGTGAATTGTTCTTAGTTTCTTTTATTTGTTGCTTGTATGTTTGTCTATGCATGGTGCTTGCTATGAGTAGAATGAGAATCGCTTGTGAGCGCTGAAGATCAGAAGGTGATGACCAGAAGCAAAGTATAATCAATATGAGCAAGAGTAAAAGGCAAGTATAGCATGGGATCTTCCTTATTGTCCTATACACCTTTAATCATTTTATTTATACTGCATGTGTCTACCTTGACTACCACTAAGGATTTTCTAGTACTTTGTTACCTCGTACCTTGTCACCTATGGGTTATTGCATTGGGTAGTATGATGCTAGTGCTCAACTACAACCATGATCTTGTAACTTGACTAATGAAATATGTAATAAACATTAAAAGATGCTTTTTAGCAACATGGAACAAGAGGGCTAGAGTATTGAGCTATTTTATGGTGTTCTAAATTCCTCTCCCTAAAGACTTATCTGTAAGTGATCATCCGGGACTTACAGTACAGCTGTGAGGGCTATATGGCTCTGGCTTTAGCTCAGTATGAGTACATTTTTTAGCTTGTTAGTGGTTACCTTTATGGCGTAAGAGGGGTGTGTTCTGGGTTGATATAGTGCGGCCTCTGTCCGTCAGTGTATAGGCTGCGCGTTATTGTGCCTGTCGGAAGGAGAGCTCTACATTCGCAGGCCACAGAAACCTAGCGGCCCTATAGTGAACCCTGCCGATCTTCCTTGGTAGTAGGTCAAGAGGCTGATCACCTCAGGTGTAAGGGTAAATCACGACTCACAGTGAAAGTGTAACCTCTGTAGAATGTAAAACTGATATATCAGCCGTGCTCACGGTCACGAGCGGTCTTGGAACATTTACGGAATAGATGATCACTAATGGTTAATGATGATTAACACTGATAATACTGATGATAAAGATGCTCACTAATTATTACTGTTTATGCTATTCATTATTCATGTTTACCTGATCATGTGTTTATATGGACTTGTGATAAACTTGTTGCTACTTCTATGTTAAAATTATGACAATTAAAAGCTAATCGCAGTTAAACCAGTGTCAGTCTTTTGAGTCTCATGAACCCAATGTTATATTTGTTGAGTACGACATGTACTTACGCTTACTTTACTTTTTAAATCTTTGGAAAAATCTGGGATTTGTACCAGATTGCTAGAGTTTGGAGGAATTAGGCTTATGATCAACCAGTCAGTTGTCCCTGTGGAATTGGAGTCTTCACCCGAAGATCGGAGTTGTCTTTCTACTGTTTGCTATCTAAGGTTATATTCTCTATACTAATACGCTATGTATTTAAGCATTGTCTATTGATATTACCCTTATTTGTAGCTATATGTGAGATTTGACTTTCTGGGCTCACATATAGTGTGTAACTGGTTTTGCTCTTAAAACCGGGTGCGACACATGGGGCACTTAATGTTTAATAATTGGAGTTTGCCTCTAGAAGTTTTGACGAACATAAGGTTCCAATAGCTAAATGCTTGTTTCCTCCGCTACCCACTTACATGCTGTCTTCCCTCTGTACTAAATTCCCCATCCGACTTCTCACACTGATTTGTTGATCTGTTTTGCTTTCCCATCTCAGGGTACTGCAGATGCTGTGCGTCAATATATGTGGCTATTTGAGGAGCACAATGTCATGGAGTTCCTTATTCTGGCTGGAGATCACCTGTACCGTATGGACTACCAAAAGTTCATTCAGGCCCATAGAGAAACAGATGCTGATATAACTGTTGCAGCCCTGCCAATGGATGAACAACGTGCAACTGCATTTGGTCTTATGAAAATTGATGATGAAGGGAGGATAGTTGAGTTTGCAGAAAAACCAAAAGGATAGAAGCTGAGATCAATGATGGTACAAATGTGATAAACTTTTTGACCCCAGTTCTTATGCGTCCTGATTGTTGGAGCTACTTCCGTGATTGCACTTTTTTCAGTTAATTTTTGCTTGTTTTACCTTTTCAGGTTGACACCACTATATTGGGCCTTGATCCTGAGAGGGCCAAGGAACTGCCTTATATTGCTAGTATGGGAATCTATGTTTTTAGCAAAGATGTGATGCTTCGGCTTCTCAGAGAAAACTTTCCTGCAGCAAATGACTTCGGAAGTGAGGTTATTCCTGGCGCAACAGAAATTGGATTAAGGGTATGCTATGCTCTTGAGCTTTCTTGGTTTCTTTCCTCCAGTTTTTGTTTTATCATTGTGGATTTTATGATTGGGGCATTTCAGTCAATTGAAAGATTCTAATTGCATCATTTATTGAGAGATTTGGCTTTGCCTTCTTAATAGTTACTATGTTTGCTTATGATGATGTTGTGTTCGACAGGTGCAAGCTTACTTATATGATGGTTACTGGGAAGATATTGGTACCATTGAAGCATTTTATAATGCAAACTTGGGAATAACCAAGAAGCCTGTACCGGATTTTAGGTATGGTTTGCACATGTCTACGTAAGAAGTTAGGAGGCTGCAATTTTCTAGATCCACCACTTACCTTTGATCAAACATTCTGTATACAGTTTCTATGACCGTTCTGCTCCAATTTATACGCAACCTAGATACTTGCCTCCTTCAAAGGTTCTTGATGCCGATGTGACAGACAGTGTTATTGGCGAAGGTTGTGTTATTAAAGTAAGAAGCTTTTTCACATGTTTTCTGATGTATTGATATATATTGTTTTCAGAGGCTTTCATATCATAATGCATTTGGGATCTTTAAGTTAGTTTGTGGATCTATTTGTCAATTGTCATTGCTTCTTTGTGCATTCTCACATTTCAATGCACAGACTTCCTAAACCCGTTATCTAATTTTTGTGCTCCACTTCGTCTTCCTTTCGTTAGCATTGCACAATCAACCATTCCGTAGTTGGACTCCGTTCCTGCATTTCTGAAGGTGCAGTTATAGAGGACTCTTTGCTAATGGGTGCAGACTATTACGAGGTAAAGTAGAGTCAAACAGAACTCTAACATCGCGCAATGGAAATATCATGAGAACTTATCATTCTTTCTTTTTTGTTCAGACTGAGGATGATAAGAAAGTCCTTTCTGAGACTGGTGGCATTCCCATTGGTATTGGGAAGAATGCACATATCAGAAAAGCAATAATCGACAAAAATGCTCGTATTGGAGAAAATGTGAAGGTATTCAAATATATCGAATTTGCCTTAAGCTGATGATGTTTTGTATCTATTGCCTGTTGTTTAACTATAGGGATTAATCAAATATCTTATTTATGTAAAAAGGTTTCTATGGATCTTTTTTTTACCGTTTTCCAAAAGAGAGTGACTGCCGTTTTCTAGTTTTTTTTTCTTGTCAGATTCTAAATTACCTGATCGTGCATTTATTTTATATATTTCCATGGGAGTATTACCATATAAGCTATAGATTCTCTGTACCAAAAGAAAATTAAAATACAAAGGAATTCATATTCACTATTTGTACAAGTTGTTTCTAACTTCTCCTAGAATTAATAATGGACAAAAAATGTGCAATGCTGTTTTTGTTATGTATTCATCAGTTCATCCTTCCTAAATAGTTTGTTGTTTTACAGATAATCAATTTTGATAATGTCCAAGAAGCAGTAAGGGAGACAGAAGGATACTTTATCAAAAGTGGCATTGTCACAGTGATTAAAGATGTCTTAATCCCTAGTGGAACAATCATATAAAGTCAGCCAACACCATGTATATAAGGTTATATCTCCCACAGAAACCAGTGTTTCTTATGCTTGTCGTACATAGGGTTACTAGCTTTTGCCGAACTTCATATTGCAACTGGATTAAGTTCACTGCTCATTTGAGTCTAGTTGCAGTATACACAATTGGCACCCATTTTCTATCTGATATATTTTGCAATAGTCAATATTCTGCATTGTGATTAATGAGATTGTGTGAGCACATAATGGTTTCCATTTAACAAGTACATAAAAGTTCCATGTTCACCCATCCCAGCCCTTTAGGGGCTGTGTGCTGTGGGACAGAAATATCTGCTAGGCATGGAACATACATTCTCCAACTTCTATGTTACCCAAATCTTGTTATGTTGCCCTGCAGGTTGGTTTGCAGCAGATGGTGATCACCAATGCGCATCAAGTTCTCTCATCCCTTTCCAGACCATGCTTATTCCCATGTTGCAAAAATCACCAAGCTCTGCATCAACTTGCTGAGGATAATAAGCATGTACTGTTGAGTGGAATTTGGATAATGTATGCTTTTGCAATCGCACACCTAAAATACCCTGTGCTTATACTCTTTCTTACCTTAATATGCTCCCTGCATTGCTCAGGGAATGTGGATTAAAAATGCCATACATAACATGATTTTTGTTAGATTGCTGTAAAGCGTACATAAGTTTCTTCTGGCCTTATAGAGATGTTCAGAGTGAAAACTATCATCTTGGATGTGCGAAGAGTTGCCTGTCTTTTCTGAGCTTGTAATGACACAAGTTTCGGTGCCTTTGTGCATGATGTTATTGAACCTATATTGAGTCTGTATAATATGGTGTGTTCTCTTATATGATTTGGCAAAAATACATGTCAAGTTGAAATTAAAGGGCGAAATCATGTTGGACATATATATAGAATAACACAATACTGATGGATCTTGCACTTGCAAAATCTCACAACTACTCCCAAGTGCTGGTTACACTAGATATAGGCACTGAGATGGCTAGAAACATCCCACACATGGATTTTATCAGATCATATTTATTGAGAAACGCATTGCTCAATCCGCATGCAATATTTCGCAAAATGTTACCCACTTAATGAAATACATGCATAAGCGTGTTCGCGAAAAAAATATTTCGCAAAATGTTCAAATTATGTGAGAGAAGTGCTCAGGCAGCTTAGGCAATAGAATCTATCCTATGTATATTTTACTATTGATCCTTACCCAGTATCTGCAATAAGGTTATATCACAAAGAAAAAAGAGGCTACAAAAGAACAGTGTTGTAGAAGGCACTCTGGATTCTCCACCAGATTTTGTTTACTGGACTGATGTCATATAACAGCCAGATCTTCACTGACTAAAACAGTGTATGTGTGATGAGGTTTCAAAAATCAGTTGAAGTGGTAGAGAGGAAGCTCTGTATTGAGGGGTGCCGACATGAACTTGAGCACATCGTTTACTGACGCAATCGAGCTTATTGATGCCTTGAGAATCTCCCGTGAGCATCCAGGCTTCAGGATGGTCCTAACCTGTGACATTATTATGCTTGATAAGCTTAACAATAGGTACCGACATTCTTATCTTCTGAAGCTAGATACATATCAGATATGTGTTCTTTTTGTGTGTGTGTGTGTGTGTGCACCTTGTCCAAGTAGGCTTGCAGTATCTCGATATCACCCAGATAGTCCTGCTCTTCTATGGTCAATGTGATAGGCTTGGTGCCTGCGCCAGGTCCTTCGAACTGAATGCCTCCTGGAGTTCTGTAGAAATCGTCTAACAGAAAGCTTGAGGCTTTCTCTCTCAGGACCCTGAGTAGTATATAAAACAAAAAAGAGTTTGTTTATACTTCTCCTGTTTCCTGAATTTGCAGAGTGGCTGGAATTCAACGGTATTAAAAAAAACAAATGGATGCAGTTATGTTGTTTCTGGTTATCCTAAAAACTAAGCAAAACTAAAGCTTTCTTTTTTACCTGCCATCGACTGTTCTTATTATTCTTTACAGACATGACTCAAACATTTCAGGGTTCAATCTTTAGGTACTTGTAACACGGGAAATAACTTTATAATAAAAGGATGCTTCGACTTACGCATATGACTCTGCTTTCAGGTCAATAGGAGAAGGATGGATAACTGGCCTCCCAATAGGAACAGCTCCAGGACCACGCAAGTGTCTCCTCACACTCATCATTGCCTGTTAAGAATGGTAAATAATCACAGCCCAGTATTGATACTGGTTACTTTGAGAACATAATTCACCAAGAAAACAGACTAACAAAGTAGTAATAACAGGTTAAAGGAGAATACCGCTAGAGGAACAGCAGCGCATCGCCACTTGTTTGTCGAGTCCTTCAGATTTGTTACGGTAGCCATGTAACCATTCAATCCAGCTGCTATTATTTGCACACAAATATGGCCAAGAACCTGCATTCTTTGACATTTAGATGTGTGCCATACCACCACCACGTGTTGTTTCTTGAAAAGAATATATTGTGGTTGTGGGAGCAAAATAATGTGTTTAGATTTGTTTCTTACATAAGCATAGTTGCAGTCGAAGTTTGATGGTGGCGATCCTCGGGCTTGAGAACCAAAGAAGTGGCACACTGAACTGAATTTTCTTCCCTTGTACTTTCCTTCTTTCTAGAAACCAATTAAAACATCAGAACAACAAAAATTCTGTAATAGAAAAAAAAAATGTAGTGGAACTTACTGTTCTCTTGTTCATTTCTGCTTCTACTAAATGAGCTAAGAGCTGCTCGGTATCGATCTGGAAAAGGAAATGTCATCAATAATTGTGCAAGATAAAATTTTGATGAAGAGCTACCATATCATATCATATACCTGAGATAGCTGTGCTGAGTTATCAGATTCTTGATGCAGGATCAACTGAATGAACAAAAACATGTTTGAGATCTTCAGAACAGCATTTTCAAAAGTAAAATATTATCGACTAAATTCAATTGTACAAGTCATGCACAACCTCTCTCCTAATGAACGATGGCAAGAACTTGAACAAGGCAGCGGCCCATGGAGAAAGTTGAGATGGAATGTCTGCCTCAGAAACATTATTACTGTGGAGATTATTGATTTCCTGAAATATATTTAGAATGAAAATGAGTAAAATCAGATGGAACAGAACACGCATTGTACATCTTATCCTTTAGGCGTAAGTAAGAATTAACATGTACCTGAATGAGTGCATACATTTCTGGTATGCTTTCTATTAGTCCCTCAGGAATAACTAGCACTCCATGGTATTTCCCTAAAAATGAATATCCCATATACCAGATTATTGCAAGTTACAAAATATTTTGATGCAACAAATTATCCTGTAAGTGTACAGACCTTGTTCCGCCCTTGCTTCTACTCCGTCGCATATCTTGTTTGTAATTTCCTTCAATGTGAGCTTTGAAAATGCCACCTCCTCTCCTAATATAACCTGAATGCAGAAATTTACTAGTAAAGATGTACAGATCTAACTTAATATGGAATAGTTTCACTTGATCAAACCATACCATGTTTGGGTGTGATTGAAGTGCGCACTCTAATGCAACATGAGATGCTTTGCCACCCATCAAGCGAACAAAATAGTAGTACTGAAAAGAGAGGAGAGTGTCAAGCAGAGTAAGTATACCATTTAGATGCATTCAGTTCTGGCCTCCTGACTCTGAAAAATAAATGACCAGAAATTTATGCTTTCAATGCATTATGAATGATATATGTCACAAATACCTTCCCAGCTGAGATTGCATCAAGGCAAACATTGCTTATAAGCTGAGAGTTCACCTGAAAGCAAATTATCGAATAAACTTTTCAGGATACGGCATTTTCATACTGCATTCAGAATTTTGAATTGCTGCACTGCTAGCAATTGGTCACAGGAATCACCTTGCACACTGTATCAAAACCAACAGTTGTTTCCACGAACTGATTCCTGAGATCACCACTCAGCGTTACAGGGACACCTATAACCTGTAAAAATGATGACGTCTCTGAAAAATTCTCAGGTTGCAAGAAAAGTAGTATGCCAATGAATAATGACTACATATATACTTTTGTCTTGCAGTTATGCTCCGCAAAGATCTCTGCAAGCTGAGCAGCATCTGAATTGGAGGTCACCCCTGTAGATTAAAAACCTTTAAGAATCACTTTATTTATCATTCAAATTGGAGGCTAAAATTTCACAAACTGTCGAGCAAATCCCATTTGATTAGGAGGCTAAAATTTCACTGCTACCATATAGTTTAATGTAGAACGAGATGTTTTTGGGGGTACTCTCTTGTCTCACCTCCAATGATGATTAGGCCATCCAAGTTAAGATCACAGCATGTTGCCTTAGCAGCATTTATTTGCTCTGTCGTGCGGATTTGATCAACAGTCCTGCCGAGCAAATCAAAACCACCTTCAAGGAGGCAAAGATTCCCCTATTATTAACATATGTAATACTACATAAGGAACAATTTTATAGCTTACTAAATGTATATGAGTAACCTTGATTTTTGTATGACGAAAGCACATCATCAGTGATCTCCAGCGTGTTCTTTGCAAATAGGCCTTCCGTGCCACCTATACAAAAAAAAAATCAACTTAAGTCGTGCTCCCTTATCATTATGTTTATTTTTATTTTCTTGACGCAGGAGAACTGTGTCATTACATTAAGAAAATGTTATATGATTATGTTTCTCAGTGGACTTTGGCAGCACATCAAAAATTTGTGGATTCTTTTTTCTTAATCCTTATTAAAAACAACCATTTTGCTTGCTCAAGAGTCAAGAGTAATTTAAAATTCTAACACGTTGACTGATGCAAATATGCTCACCTACAAACCCAAGCAGAACATTGTGTGGATTCTGAGCTTTCATAGCATCATAAGTACCCCATATGACATTATGCCCGCCAGGTGATTGCCTTCCAGAAAACACCACACCCACCCTACACACACATATTCAGATTTGCCAACACGATTATATTATTATGTATAATATAAATCCTGACACGATTGAAGATGTAACCCTTTAGCTGGGTCATCATAGCATGCAATTAGGAATTCATTTTTTTGAAAGTAAGCAATTAGGAATTCATATCCAACCTAATTGGTGGGTGTTCTTGGATGACTTGTGCATCAGATTCAGAGACCACCGTGTCAGTGTGTGGCTCTAGGAAACGCACCAGCTTCTGACCAAAGATGTGTGGGAATGCCTGTGCGACAATGTCGGCGCATTTTGAATCAATGGTCGTTGTTGAGTCGCCAAACTCCACTCTGATTCTCGTTCCCTGGTCATATATAGTGGATGGAATTTGTAATAAAACATATTTTTTTCCAGAGACATGAGGGAAGAATATATATTTTCAGGCAAAAGTGAGTATCCGAATATGCCATGTAGCTCAATCTAAGCATGCCGATGCTGGCCGGTGCTAATTAAAACATGTCCTTGTGTAATGTACGCAGCGGTGCAAGAACAAAAAAAAAACTCATTTTGGGTCTTTAACTTTTTCTTTCTATGGAAAAAGGACAGGGCAGAAAACTTTGAATTCTGTTGAATGAAAGGGGCTGGTGAGGAAAATAAGTTTCTATAAATCAAGAAGTCTCTGCTTCCTCTAGAAGCAGCCCTGTGCAAAATTGTCATGCACCGGTCAGAAAGGTGTTAACTACAGGAAATGATCTCGTGACTATGACTAATCACCAAGGCTCTCAGGTCTCTTGATTCATTACAACTACCTGGGAAGATTTATAAAAGAAAGAACTATTACTTATAACTTACTTGATAATAAAGACGAAAAGGAGTGGGAATGGAGCCTACATGGCAACGTCTTCTATCAACTAAGAAGCTATTAGCAATGTTTTTTTTTTTTTTTTTTGAAAAGGGCCACTTGACCCGGCCTTCTTTGGAGGGCATTGTAGGAGCCAAGGATTGAACCCTGAACGGCCAGCTCCCACACTTGGGGCTTAACCGCCTGCTGTTCATTTCCTATACAGCAAGGTGACACAATTTCCTCAGTCTCGGCGCATCCAAATGGAGCGGTTTTTTCGCTTCTCATGTGACAGTGAAAAGTAGCAAGCGTGTGGTATCATCAACGTCAAACATCTTTGTGACGTCATGTGGTTAAAAAAAACAAAATTTTGAATCTTGTTGAAAGAAAAGGGGCTTGTGACTTGTGAGAAAAAGAAGCTTCTATCTATAAACCAAGAAGTCTCTGCTTCCTCTAGAAGCACTGGGGCCGCCGCCACTGTGCCAGATTGTCATACAGCGGTCAGAAAGGTGTTAGCTACAGCTACAGGGAATGATCTCGTGACCATGACTAATCACCAAGGAATGATCTCCCAAGTGCCTGGTATCATTAGAACGACCTGAGAATAATTTATAAAAGAAAGAACTACAGTGTACTTGAGAAGAAAGATGAATAGGAGTGGAGCCTACAAGGCAGAGTTGTACACCCATCGTCTTCCATCAGCTAAGCTATTTTAGCTATGTTCATTTCCTATACAGCAAGGTGACAAAATTTCCTAGGTCTCGGTGCGTCCAAAATCGAGCAGTTTTTTTTTTCTTCGGTTTTCATATGGCGGTGAAAAGGAGTAAGTGCTTTGTTACATCGAGAACATCATAATAAGAAATAACTCTTGGAAACATCCATGACACTCAAGAAACCAAAGGTGCAGGATTAGCATCATATCATAAACCTGAAGTTGTCGGAGGAGGATTACCATCATGCAACTCAAAAAAAAAAAAAGATTACCATCATGTAGAGTTGCAGATGCAGCAGGGGAAGAAACTAAGAAATGTTGGCAAGCAAACCGCAAACCTGAAGAAGACATGGAGGCAACTCCGGTTGGTACAGCGCCCTTCTCCGCTGCAGCCCGGTGAGCTCCCTCGGCGAGCCCAGGTCGTCGGCGTTCATCCCTTTCCCTTCCCTTCCCTCCTCAAAAATATTCAATTCCTCAAAGACAGGTTTATATTCCTGGGTGCAGTGCAGTGCAGATGTACGTTGTGCTCTTCCTCGCTAGCTACCTTTTTGTAAGGAAGGAATTGAAGGGGCACGCAAGAGTGCTGTTTGTTGTTGTTGGCCCCTGATGCTACCAACAGCAATTTGACCCCATTTCCCTTGTTAACCTCTTTTTCTATGTGCTGGTATTCAAAGCTGTGATTGTGATTATTTCTGATTGGTCAGCCGGAGTGACCTTCAAGGTGACAAGCTGCAGCCTCTTTTTATTTTTATTTTTTCTTCATCTTCTTTCATTCACTTTTTGCCAGTTATATTATTCCTTCCTCCATTTCAAAAAGCGCATATATAGGTCTCCCAACCAGTAAGTAAAATTCAACTACAACTCATGCTATATTGCTATAGGTGACAGATGGAACCAAGCAAGCAAAAGTGACTGAAAGAATGAAATAAAGAGCCAAGCAAAAGTGTTGTTCTCTTTTATTTCAAAAAAGTGTTGTTCTCTAATCCAATAATTAAAATGCTCCTGAGCTATCATCCGTTCGTTGGTGTGTCTGTCAGTATCCAGTGGTGAATTAATACTTGATGACGTCGTTGTCACCCGGACGAAAGCAACCATAATTTGTTTTTTTTTGTTTATTTATCATGTGGAATAGTTAATGCTTCATTCGATATGCCAATTAAAAAAAATATAGAGATGCAGTTCGGCAAGAACCAATATTCCAGAATCTTTGTTTCCAGCACTAGGTTTCTGCTCCCCGTTTCTTAGGTAGACACTTGTAGTTTCCCATGGATTTGGACGTTCTTTCAAATTTTCCTAGATCTTCATGGAAAGTTTACATCACGCTTTATGCTAAAAAATGTTTACATCACGCTTGATTTTGTAGCCACCTTTTCATGGAACTTTAGTCAAAATGACCGTGGAAAACATATATAGGTGCATCTTGAAACTGACATGATTACAGCCTACGTTCTCTTTTATACTTACCCTAATATAGATTGGACGGGAATTAAATTTGTAAAGACTATATGGAAGAATTGATATCTTCTACTCCCCTCTCCCTTCCAAATGTAGCTATGTCCTAAGTCAAGCTTCTCTAATTTTGATCAAGTTGTTAAAAATGTTTTAAGTTCAAATGAATGCAATATACTACTACACAAATAAATTTTAGTTGCAATCAACATTGGTTTGTAGAGATACAATCAACATTGATTTGTAGAGAATACAATATATTTCAAATATAAAGAATCTCAAATAAAAAAGTTGTCAATTACAAAATTTAGATCTCATCAAATTCTACAATTCTGATATAAAGTTTATCTTCTTTTAACTTCATTTGAAAAAGTTGTCAAAATTCAGAGTAGGTCACCCTACGAACAGACCCAAGAAATTGATCTCTAGAGGCAATTCATAAGTTGAGCTTGTAATCTTTATTTCTATAGAGACCGTTACCTTTCTAAACCGTGTGAAAAAAAAGTGCCTCCAAAAAATGTTTGGGTAGTGGTTCTATGAAGTTATATTTCATGGCAAACTTAACGATTGATGCTTGTGTAATTTTTCTATAGATTTAATCAAAGTTAAAAAAAATTGACCTATGATAAAATTAGAGTGACCTATAATTTGAAACGGAGAAAGCACGTAAAAGATACTACTAACTATGATAGTGTTGAACTTGGACTCTTTCTTTGTGTTGTATATATCTTACATTAACATGAATTTCATATACCAAAATAATGATTAACCTAGTATAGCGAGGACGACATATGTACAGAGAATTAAGGACACGTTTTCAGAATTTTGCAAACGAAATAAGGCATGCCTAAGCTAGTTTCCAAGACGAGTAACTCTACAAGGAATTGAATTACGGCCAGTCAAATTTATCAGAAGAGATGTTAGCTGCAGCGATGACGACAAATTATCTTTCTTCTGGGGTCTTGGTCGTTTTCGCCATGACGATGATTGTTCTGCAGACATGCACGTGCTAGCAGCCGTGGACATATCGAAGGCACATGGATTTGGAGACTCCCGGTACGTTTGAACAAATGGTCCATGGTTTTTGAAAGGCACGCGTACAAATGAGGACCACGATATATGTTGGTGTTGGGTACTATAGAGAGATGCCGTCAGCAATTTCCCAAGCATAGTCGCAACAGAAAAAAAAAAGAGAAACAATACTAAGCAAACAAAAAATACTTATATGACAGAGTAAGTAGATATTTTGTTTTTAAAAAAAAGAAAAGATTCGAAGCCATAAGGCGTGTAAAGACGTGTACAGGACGGCACGATGAAACACGTAAACACGCAGCTCCTGAACGCGACCACGAAACACGCGTATCTCTCAATCTCTGGCAGTGCCCGGCGCTGATAGGGATGGATTTGGATGTCTCCACATTCAAATTATGCAATATATGTATGTGTTTCTGTGTCAATTTGGATCCATATATTTACAAAAACTATATGAAATATTCAACATTATCAGTATCATTGAAAACAAAGTACCTGGTGAAACATTCTAAAACACTTGTATATCTATAACTAATTTAACAATGTAAACGATAATAATTTTAATAGAACAGATAGTGCATCATTTAAATAAATTATTTAAAAGCTAATGACATTAATTGATTTAATATTACTGTGTAATTCTAAAAAAAAAGATGTATAAATGTTAACTTTAATTTTAATATGGCTAATCATATTAATGTTAAATAATTTAGTTTATTTATGCATCCATAAAATTATTTTTATATTTAAAGTTCTTTATTGATAAATATTTATATACTCAAATATTTATCTATAGTTTTTTATTGATTTTTGACATATTTAATTTTTGAAATATTTATCAATATATAATAGGTTTTTAGCTACGGGTGTTATATAGTCATATTTTAATTTCTACATTCAATTCCATTCAAATCTGATCTAAATCCATCCTATGTGCTAGGCAATAGCAGCAACGATAGGCGCTTCTGTACACAAGCCTAAGAGCCCGTTTGGAGAGGATCCCACGTGCTCCGATTTTGGCACCATAGATGCCCGAACCATTTTTCCACTCACTATAGTGATACACTGTGCATTTACAAGACGGATTTATCAAAAACACACACAAATGGGTTAGTGGCACAACAGTACAATGAGAGAAGTTGTGTTTTGCATGGGGCTCGGCTACAAGTTTACTAGTAGGTGGCAAGATAATGATGAATATCACTGCCATTGGGTGTATGAAAACTAACTCGATTGTTCTCTTCATTCCAAATTATAACACATTTTGGCTTTTCAAAATATATTGTTTTTATTATATATCTAGATAGTGTATATCTATATAGTGGAAAACTATGTATCTAGAAAAATTAAAATATCTTATAATTTGGAACGGAGAGAATACATAGCATATGGACGCAGAATAATGATATCTTTGTACGAGCAGTAGACAAGTTTGATTACCTCACTTTTTTGTGATTTATTTTTGAAACAAAAAAATTGAAACGATTTTTTTTGTGAATTATTAAGGCAGCACAAAACAAGAAAATACAGGTAACTGAGAGCATCTCTAAAAACTTCTTAGAAGTTACTTGGTAAACCAATATTAATACCAACTGAACAAAATAAGTGTTTCTCCAACAGTACGTTATCAACAATTAGGTTTCTAAAACTCAAAAATTGGGTGGGAGGAGAAAGAACTAGATGGGAGAGAGGGAAATTTATCAAACGATAATGATTGGATATGGGCGACCGTCTCGTCCGGACGCGCCTCCCGTGGGCCTGCAGAGCTGCGCGGCCCGCTTCCCCTCATGGCCCATCTAAAACTACTCTCCATCGTTGAAAACGGACGCATTTCTCTTCATCCCAGCTGTCGACTAAAGATTCTCGGCAGTCCACCAAGGGGGCAACCCACGATGGTAGATTGATTGGTAGAGGTGCACGTGATCAGGAACTAGATGGTAACAGAGACACAGGACACAAGATTTATACAGGTTCAGGCCGTCAATGTGACGTAAAACCCTACGTCCTGTGCTCGGTTGGTTTGTATTGATGAGAGGACCTTAGGCGAAGCCCAGGATCTGTATCTACATGCCGACTAGGGGACCCCTGCCCCTCCTTATATACTTTGGAGGGGTAGGGTTACAAGAAAAATATCATATTTGGTATTACAATATCTAATAAATCACATCTTCTTGTAGCCTTGCGTTGCACGCCGATAGTGCCGTGCGCCGCACGCCTTGATCTTATGAGCTGGGCCACCTCTGATGGTGCGTCCTATGTCTTGTCTTGTGGGTACCAGGGGTTATATTCCCCACAGCTAGTCCTCGAGCGCCTTGTATCCGCTTGGCGACGCCGTCTTGATCAAGTTCGAGCAGTTTAACACAAAGTCGATCAGTTTTGCTGATGACCTGGATGGTGAAAATTGAAGCCAACCAGTTAAATTGGTGACTTGAACGGTGAAAGCCGAAGCCGACCAGTTAAATTGGTGACCTGGACGGTGAAAGTCGAAGCCGACCAGTTAAACCGGTGACCTGAGCGGTGAAAGTCATAGCCGACTAGTGTAACCGGTGACTTGAGCGGTGAAAGTAGGAGCTGACCAGTTTAACAGGCTAACCAATCTCAGACTTAGCCAAGTAAGACTTGCCAGAAGGATGTAAGGGGCTTAAGATTAAATTGAGAAATTCTCCTGGCGAAGTGTAGCCACTTAGACTCTGTTTGCGAGGAATCATCCATGACTTAGTCAATAAGGAGGGTAAATCAAGAAAAGAACACTACATTCACCGCCAGGTGAAGTGTAGCCACTTAGTCCCCGAGCCTGCTGGAAGATGAAGAAATAAATCTTGTAGTAGGGTTAAAAAAAATAAGTCAGAAAGCTTGCCAATGTCATCTGGCATGTGTGTATCAAGACCCCAGATGTGCTGCCCAAGATCAGCACCCTGATCCGAACAGCATGAAGCAACTTGATGGCACACCG